CTCCCACGTGTTTTAGAACATGGCTTTTCTGATGACTGCAGAAGAGGTGAGGTGTGGGAGGATAGCCAGGGAGAACCGCACCTCTTGTCCACTCACACTCATTCGGTTGAAAGCCGAACTCTGGTTGGTGCCATGGATGGCGCCTGCTGCTTCATCTAATCCCCGGCAGTCCAGGGCGTGGGCCCAGGGTTGCCCCTCTGCCTTTTGAAACACACTCCCTGGTTCAGGCTTCCGAGACCAACAAGGAGGATACTGTGGCAGCAGGGAGCTGACTCACTCTCCATTTGGAACTGGTGCTAAATGGTTTCATTTAATAGCTGCCCTGGCCTCAAGTGGGCTGCCATATGGGGAAAATTCGGTGAAAGTGTTGGAGGAAAACAACCCAGGAAGTGAGAGTGGTGTTTTAATATCCAGGTGTTGCTGGTGCTATTAAACTTCTAAGATACAGTTCAGGGAGGCCAGTGAAAATATAGGTTTGCATTCTCCAAATGTCCTCTTAATCAGATGTCAGGGCAGCAGGAACAAGTCTAGATTCCAGTCTTAAACCCCTGGAGGTGGGGAAGTTCTGCTATTTAAACATATACTCTGGTCATGGCAGACTTTGGCCAGACAGCGCCCATTTTCAGAGTTAACTGAGTGAGTGGTACAAGTTATCTGGCAGTGCTATTTAGCAGATGACTGCAGAGAGAATGGAGCCAAAAAAGAATTGATTTGGGAAGGCTCAAGGAATTTCTGAGACTGTTGAGACGAACACTTTAGGCTTTTGTTATGTTGATTTATAATGTGCTGGGACTTGTGCAAGCCGTTGACCAGATCTAAGGGCTGGCTTTTTTTTTTTTTTTTTTTTTTTTTTTTTTTTTTTTTTTAGGTTTTTTGTTTGTTTGTTTTTAAACAAAAACAAAAAACTAATTTCCTTGCTGCTTTTATATTGGGGGAGGTGAAGGGCAAAAATAATTAGCAAATAGCTTTCTTCAAGTTTTCGGAATAGCTAAACTATCAATATGTTTATCTCTTCCCTGACATTTGTATATTCTAGATCACTGTTTTCTCCAGCTTTATCCCTGTTTCCTTCCCTTAGTGATGTCCATGGTCTCATCAGTCACATCAGTTCTCTCCCTCAGTTTCCTTCCGCTGCCTTTATTTATGTATTTATTTTCGAGAACAACAAAAGCACTCCTGTTGCCTTAAAGTCCTCCTTCCCCCCTTTTCTTTTTTCATGGAAATAGGAGGCAAGTGATAGCAAGATGGTAATTCAATGGCAGTGGTAACTGAAACACTGACCTACTAAAAGGTAGGTGGAAGTTTCTGGTGGGCAGATGCAGATCCTGTCATCCATGGAGGTTTGAAAGAAGTCTTTATATCATGGGTGGTTTGAGTCT